CTGAGCATGGGAGATCCGCGCAATAAAGGCGTATTTGGTGGAGGATGTGCTCGTCAGTACTGAGAAGCTTACAGGGACAGTCCCGAGTGGCGTAGACGGAGTCGCTTGTCGCTTCGTTTCCAACTGTAAGTATGCCTCTGGGTCCTCAACTTCCAGTTCTGTGAACTCTGGCTCAAGGCTCCGTAGGATCACCTGGAAGAATTGGTGGTCCACAGTGACAAAGACCGTCCGCAAAATGCTGTATTGGGATACCACGGTGCTACAGGCCTTCCGCAGACGATTGGTATCAAGAGATGTTGGGAACAGTTCTGCGAAGTTCACTATCGACGAGGAATCTAGATAGTAAGATTGACTATCTAGTACAGGCAGAACGCTCTGGACGTTGTCGTGACTGAAGGGAGGCGCTTTGTTGAAGAATACTCGCTGGACTTCTGCCAAATCAGAGTCTGCAACGAGGGATATAGTCGTGCTCTTGCGTGAAACAGAGGTTGGGGGATGCGTTCCATCTACGGCACAAGCCCAGCCCCGAATAGTAGGATCTCGAAGGACCTTATGAGGGGTGATATCAAGGCCGCTAGCCTGGGCATGGGCCGCAATCTTCATAGCGATGATCGAATCGCCGCCGAGGTGGAAGAGGCTGTCATCGACACCGATATTGTGCAGAGGAATCTTGAGAAGCTGGCTTAGAATCGCCTGGAACTTCTTTTCAGTGGCAGTTTGAGGTGATCCCTTGCTTGGTTTTGTCGTGGACGATGCGGACGTGCGATCCTTGGAGCGGAGTGCTACTATTGCCTCTCGCAAACGTCGACGATCTGTCTTGCCTGACTTTTGGCGTGGGACACAAACCATAGGTAAGAACAGATCGGGGACCATGAAGCTAGGGAGAACGTCTCGAAGCCGTTGCACTGCGATCGCTGCATCGTCATCGAATTCACGGCTTGGGGTGGTTAACAAGTCACGCTCTAGCGACGAATCCGACGTTGACTGCTCAGAGAGGTGCTTCCCATGGACACAGGCGACGATTCGAGGGTGCACTGAGGACTCAGCACCTGGAGCTGTTTCTGGATCCTGAGGCAGCATGATCTGCTCGACAACCACGTCTGCTGCACCAGGAAAGCATTGGGCCGTATGATACTCGATATCCTCGAGCTCCACGCGCTGCCCACGTACCTTAATTTGCCGGTCTTTGCGGCCCTCGTATCGCAAAGTACCATCTGATATGTCGTATCGGACCAAGTCACCAGTCTTGTACAGGCGCCAGGACGATATGTCCTTCGGGAAGAGTGCTTGCAACCAACTAGGGGGCGCAATAAATGCGTCGGCGGTCCTCTTGGGGTCATTGATGTAGCCCTTAGCGACGGGTGGACCACCGATAATCAACTCTCCAACGGCACCGATGGGAAGCAGTCGATGGTGGTCGTTCTGGTCAACCACCCAGAAGTGTACCCCTAGGGCGTAGCCCATGTCCTTCGGATCGCAACCGGGGACAATGCGGGATGTTGCGGTGTTCAAGACAGAACACTCAGTTGGACCGTAAGCATTCATCAGATAAGAGGAATTAGCCCATTGTTGAATATGTGAGGTAGACATGGGCTCGCCCAGGAGGACTAGTGTTTCTACCCATGATGCTCTGCCGGCATCAAGCATCCCAGCAATGGACGGCGTCACAAACGCATGGGTAACTGTTTTCGGACATACACCATCCAGCAGCATGCGGCTGCGTTCTGACTCGGAAATGACGCACACTGTGCCTCCCGCCATCAACGTCGTGAGGACTTCCATCACAGACACATCAAACGCGTATGAAGAGAACTGTAATACGCGAGACCCGAGGCCAAGGGAGAACGCTCGCATCTGCTCCTGAGCGGCAGAAATGAACGATACGTGTGGGACCATAACTCCTTTGGGGGACCCTGTAGTTCCCGATGTGAAGAGCACATACGCTGGTTGTTGAGGGTCAACAACTGCTGGTAGGTCTGCCGTTCTCGCGTAGTGATCATAGTTCCTATCCCCAACCACAATTACGTCGGCCGCCAACTGGGGACTCATACTTGCTTGGGCCACTGAAGTAAGAACGAAGCGAGCATCTACGCGCCGACAAAGCTCTTGAAGCCTGGTGATAGGATGTGTTGGGTCTAATGGCACGAAGGTACCGCCGGCTTCATCACTGCCAGCATCGCCACCGCGGTCCATCGTGACTTTTCGAAACAAAGGGGAACGTATGTCGTTGGTGTGACTCCTCGGGCGACAAGATAGGCAGCCAGTTGTGTGCTCTGACTCTCCAGCTCAGCATAGCTGAAGGAGCCATCGAATCCACAGACAGCTAGAGCACTCGGATGTCGCTGGGCACATTGAGTGACTGCCTGATGCACACATTGGGGCTGTGGCTCGTGCAGTGCAGCGTTCCAGCGCAACAATCGTTTATGATCATTGGCGCTCAGCAGGTGTAAGTCACCGATCTTTGCACGGGGATCACGAAGAATAAGCGAGATTGCCTCTGCAAAGTAGTCTGCTAATTGCGTGGCCAAGACGGTTGATACTCGGGAGGGGCGGTAAGACATAGATACTCGGACATCCCCATGTTGGTCTATCAAGACATAGAGCATAATATCTTGCTGTTGATGGTGTATCGGGTTAGTAAAGGTCCTGACCAGCCACCATGTGAGGACGGGGCAACGAAACACTTTTCTGTGGTTGTGTGTCTGCTTTTTCTTGGAACGATATTGCAACACAATTGATGGAAAATAGAAGAAAATACTCACCGATGTTGGATCAAGTCCACCTATTGGCTCAAACGTGAGGGAGGATTTGCTTTGTTCAGATTCAGTATCAGGAAGGGCATATTGGACGTTGATAGCCGTGGAGGCCAGCTCTTGCACCGTTACACCTGCCGCTCGGGCGATCTCCGATAATGGGAAGGTTTGATAAGATAGGATGTGGCCATAGTTGTCTTGCAGAGAAAGAGCAGCCTGATCAAGGGATAGATGCGGTGTCAGACGTACTCGGCACACTGCCATGTTGGCTATCTGTCCAACGGTGTACTGAATGTTTTGTACTGGGACATGGCGCCCCTCGGTCAGTGCCCCAAAGCAAACATCATCAGACCCAGAGAAGACGCCTAGGGCCATAGCCCAAGCGAAGTAGAGGAGGTTTGAAGCCGTCCAGTCTGTCTGTCGACAGAACATGTTAATGTCCGACCCACTGCAGGCCAGAGGAACCTCCAGCCGCTCCAGGGGCTTGCTAGTCCTGTCATCTGCGACCCAGGGATATGGAAGAGACAGGGGCTGCAGTCCCATCAGGTACGAGCTCCAGTATGCACGTGCCGGCTCTTGGGGCTGCTTATGGACGAAATGAAGATATTCACGATATGCATCCTGCGCGCCGTAGGGGAGAACTTGACCGTCGTAAAGGGACATTAGGTCCTGAACCAGCAATGAGACGGATGTCGCATCAATAATGGCATGGTTAATGTCTAGCCGGCAGAACACAACCCCATTCGCCATGCCGCAAATGGTGAATTGGTGTGGGATGTCACTATCTCGTCGGACGTCTTCTTGAGTCAGGCAGCCAGGCACACCCTTGCTGTCGACTGGTGACTCAGGAAGAATGTAAATGGGTGCATCAATGTGAGGGAATAACCGTAGCTGGAAGCCATCACTATCGACCCTCGTATCATTCTCGAATACGACTCTCAGTGCGCAATGCCGGGCTACAGTCTGTTGCCATGCCCCTGCCAGACGATCAACATCGACTGGGGCGTCGGAGTTACCCTGAATCTTCCAAATGAAATGGGGAGCATAGCTGAGGGGGTCTTGCATTTGTGTCAGCAATATTCCTCGTTGGACAGGCGTACAAGGTAATAGCTCCTCGGCGTTGTCCGTCGAAGGTGTTTCGACACCGGCACCAACATCCCCTTCCTCTTGACGGTCCTTTTCGGCAGCTTGGTGCCCAGTGGCCTGACGCACAGGTATGAATTGGGCAAACTTCTCCACGATACGACTGATAGACTTCCACTGGAAGAGGTCTGCCACGGCATGTTCAATGCCTGCTGCACGCGCTTGGCTCGTGGCCTGCATTGCAGATATGGAATCTCCGCCCAGTCTGAAGAAGCTGTCTTCTGCCCCGATATTCTCGGGCGAAATCCCAAGAGCTCGTGCCCAGATCGACTGTAAAAGCCGCTCCGTGTCGGACAATACTGTCTTCTGCCTTTCTGGAGCGGCGCCGGTACTCTCCCGTCCCAGCTGCTGGCGTGTCATTGATGAAGCTGCCTGTCTCAGTCCCCGGCGATCGACTTTGCCGCCGACAGTACGGGGCATTTGCCTCAAGGGGACAAAGATACTGGGCACCATATAGTCCGGGAGGCTCTCTGATAGTCTGGATTCAGTCGACTTGACGTGGTCCGAAAAGTTGGGGACTGCAACAATGTCAAGTGGGTGTTCACCATGCTCGGGTGGCCTTGCGGTGTTCTGTCCTTTCCCTGCAACGGCGAGAAAAGCAACCAAACAAGGGGCTCCCCGGGCATCAATGGGTGTTACGATTTCGGCAACGACGTCAGTCAGTATGCCGGGGAAAGATCGCTGAATCTGCTCCTCAACCTCCTGAAGTTCTAAGCGCTGGCCTCGGAGTTTCGCCTGTGTGTCCTTCCGTCCATGGTACACCAGCGAGCCGTCATCCTCGTAGCAGACCAGATCACCGGTGCGATACACCATAGATCGAGTCCCATTGCCCTCTAGCCCAAGCCCATCTAACCATGCCGGTCCCCTGAAGAATGCGGCAGCCGTTTGGTCTGGGTCGTTCAGGTATCCCCGACCAAGCAGAGGGCCCTGCAAAACTAGCTCACCTACAGCACCGATGGGAACCAGTTGATAAGGGTTCCGTGGATCAGTGATCCATCCAATGCTAGCGACGGGATGTCCGATGCTGGCTGGTGTGGTCTCAGGGGTACAATTGGATTGCATGCATGACAGGATTGTGCACTCGGCGGGCCCGTAGAGATTCATCAAGCGAAGTTTCCCCGTCCACTTGACGAAGTCATCGCGCCGAGCTGCTTCTCCGACTAGCATTAAGGTATGTACAGAGCCTAAGGCATTCTGAGGTAACACACGCGCCAGTGACGGCGTTAGTAACGCATGTGAGGGCCTGAGGTCTTGTACTGCTTCAGCGAATCGCTCCTTGCGCCCTGCCTCTGATGGAACGCAGACACAAGCCCCTGCGATGAGTGTGCTCAGCGTTTCCAGAATACTAACATCAAAAGCATATGATCCAAAATGCAGAATTCGGGCATCCGGCGTTATTCTTGTCCGCCGTGCGTACTCTTGACTCATTGTGACAAAGGGTCCATGGTTGATAATGATGCCTTTCGGCTTACCGGTTGAGCCGGATGTAAAGACACAATACAGGGCATCATTGGGACTCGGACACCACCCAGATGTATCAGTTGTGATGCTCGGAGAACTGTCTTCCAGCCCCCCATCAACCACCAGTGTATTTGAGACCAGTGCTTGTGCCTCCTTCAACTTTTGCGCTGTGGTCAATATGATCGAGGCCTGTATGTCGTTGCAAATAAGGCGCAGGCGGGCGGGAGCGTTTGACGGTTCTAGCAAGACGAATGCTGCTCCTGCTTTGATGATGCCTAGCATAGCCACCATTACCCAACGGGACCGGTCCATAAGCACGGGAACTAGACTCTTTGGATGGATCTTATGACGTTGTAGAATGGTGGCGACCTTATTAGACCATCTGTCGAGATCGCGATATGTGAAGCTGCCGTCCCAAGCAAAAACTGCAGGAGATAGTGGCTGCCGTGAGCACTGTTGTTGTATGGCGCCAGGCACCGTTTCGCGTATCATGTCTGGGATTGCGACATTCCAGGTCTTCAATTGCTGCATACTGGACGGATTAAGCTCCCCGAGAATGTCGCGTACCGGTGACTGCGGCCTTTGGTAAATGCCTTGCAGGATATGGCTGAACTGGCTAATGATATGCCCCATCTTCCAACGGGAGATAACCCGATCGTCGAACGTAGCTGTAACTGTGATAGAATCTGCCTTCAACACACAGTTGAGCACAACAGCATATGATGCAAAGGCTCCCTCCTTGGCTTTGACTCCGATAGTGTCAAACAAGTTCTTATAAGCAGGGCTGTCAACAAAGTCCTCTGCTGGCTCAACATTCAGTAACGTTTGGAAGGAGCAGGCACGCATTGCTTCCGGTCCCAATTTCGCGATCTGCTGCAAGCCAACATGTTCAAAACAGGCGAATTTAGCAGTTCGAGTTTGGAGATCCTTCAGTGCCTTGCAAATCTGCTCGTTCGTATCGATGCTAACTCGCAGGGGAAATGCACATAGGGTCGGGCCACTTATTGCCTCGACACCTGGAAGAGGAGCTGTTCGGCCTGAAGAAACAACACCATAAACAATCTCTGACTTGCTCTGGTATTGTGCCTGTACCAAGGCCCATGCGAGACGAACGGCAGCGGTGCGTGTGACGCTAGTCTCTTTAGCTGCCTCAATTGGTATGTAATGCTCAACCTGGCTTATTGCCTTCGCGCGATATGATATTGACGGAACCATGGGAAACGGCTCAACGTCCAGACCGTTGAATTCAGTCCGCCAGTGGGCTAATGAATCTTCGACCTGCGAGCAGGTGTATGCAATGAATTGCTGGAAGGGAACTGGGTCAGCTGGAAGGTACTCATCGGAAATGTAGGCCATGTGGGCGCAGTGGAGGAACTGTGGCAGTGTCCACGCGTCGTACACCGCATGATGCATTGTGAGAGTCAGCTTGCAACTATCCCCTCTACTGACTCTTACATTGAACAATGGAACACCAAAGATTCCATCGTCACGGTCACCTATAGCATCCAGTCCTCCCAGGGCAAAGCCCTCTTTTCCAGCACTCCATGATTCTGTCCATCCTAACGCCTGGTTCCGGACAACAACTTGCCAGCAAGCAAGGTCCGTAGTCTGGATGAGACGAGTGCGAAGGATAGGATGGTGGGTGACCACCTTCTCCCACGCATATCGTAAACGTTCAAGATTGATGTCTGATGGAATGCTGTACTCATGGTGAGCAACATACGCTCCCGCTCGCTCAGCTGTCAGGGCTGCCATCCCGGCCTGCATAGCCGTGCAGGGGTAGATATCTTCTATATCTACCTGATCAATGCTGCACTGTACACTAGCCTGGTTTTGTATTTCTGCCTCGCGGCCGTTTGGAATGAGCGAAAATGGGGCCACGAGTGGTCTGGCTGGTTCGTATCCATGTGGCTCCTCGCGATTACCGGCGACAGAACTGGCGAGCTCGCGTAGCTGAGAATGCGCAAATACATCTGCCACCGCAACATGGAGACCCTGTGCCCGAGCTGCAGACACTAACTTCATCGCCGTAATTGAATCACCTCCCAGGGAGAAGAAGTCATCATCGGGTCCAATAGCCCCTGCACGGCAATGCAGCAACTCGGACCAAAGCTCGCGTAGTTTTTGCTCCTCTGGACTAAGGTCTGTTGCTTTCCAATCCTTTTCAACGCTATTGCATTCATCCCGCTGTTTCTTCATAAAGTCTATGCCCTGCTGTCGTATGCGCGATCTATCTACCTTTCCACTTGGTAGTCGTGGCACCTCTTGAAGGCGAAGTAAAAATGATGGACGCATGAATGGAGGTACAGCTTGTTGCAACTGGCTCTCCGTGATAGACACAGCAGATGCAAACTCATGCTCATCTTGGGTGGGCTGCGAGACCGCTGCAATCAAGTATGCCTGGTCCGCATCATTACTCGGCACGACGTCGGCGAAGACATCTGGCATGCCAGGGAAACACTGTCGTACATGATATTCGACTTCAGCTAGCTCAATTCGCTGTCCACGGAGCTTGACCTGACGATCCTTGCGTCCCATGTATAGTATTGTTCCATCAGTGAGCATTCTGACAAGGTCTCCGGTCTTGTAAAGGGGTCTTCTCTGTGAGCAGGATACGTGCTTCATCCAGGGCATGTCATAAATGAAGGTGGCCGCCGTAAGCTCCGGCCGACCTATATAACCCTGGCCTACAATGGGGCCCTCAATGAGCAGCTCTCCTACGGCACCGACAGGGACTAACCGGTCAGAAATGTATCGATCGGTTATCCAAGCTCGTGCGCCGGTGGGGCGGCCAATATTGGTTGGCTCATTCATCAAGGTCGTTGTAGAATTCTGTACAGTCGCAATAACAGAACACTCAGACGGTCCATAGGCACTCATCAACTTCACATATGGGGACCATTTCTGCACATCAGCTGGCGACAGACTTTCACCACCTAGAACAAGAGTCTTTAGAGGTGCCGCCTTCTCGGGGTCAAGGGTTCGTGCTACGGAGGGCGTGAGCAATGCCCAGTTGACTTGGGCATCCTGTATGAAGTCGAGAAGCCTCTCTTGCCGGTCCTTATCGGAGGGTATACAAATGCAGCCGCCCACCATGAGAGTAGTTAGTATCTCCATGACCGATGCATCGAAGGCAAATGATGCGAACTGAAGCACTCGAGAGCCCTCGGCCAGACCGAACGCTTTACTGTGTGCTCTTGCACCTGTGACATAAGATTCGTGCCCCACGACACTCGCTTTCGGCTTTCCTGAGGAGCCAGAGGTAAAGACTGCATATGCCGCCGTAGTTGGGCACACGCGCGCCAAGGTCGAAGGCGCACAACAAATTCTTGTATTGCTCTCATCGCCAAGCCGTTCAAGCACAATCACGGTATCTGCAATTGTCCCTGCTAGGGATGCGAGCCTTGCACAAGTGAGAATGAGCTGGCTGTGGAGGTCACTCTTCACTATCTCTCGTAGTCGCTCCATGGGGTGGCACGGATCCAATAACACGAATGCACCACCAGCTTTCAGGACTCCCAGTACCCCAACAATTACCCATCGAGACTTATCGGCATATAATGGCACCAGGGCACCAGGGCCGACGCCATACTGCGAAAGGCGTCCTGCCAGTATGGTTGAAAATTGGTCTAACTCCGCATAGGTCAAGGATCCATCGGACGCAGCCACTGCAGGCGACGAAGGGTTCTTGATGGCGAATTTCCCTATTTCATCATGAATGTAGCTTCGCACACTAACCGGGGCTTGCTTATTCCAGTCCATGATGCAATCCCGATTCAACTGACTGACCAGGTCAAGCTGACCTAGCTGGTCCAACACTCCAGATACAAGCTGCGAGACGATATGTTGGAAGGTGGCAGTAATTAGCTCTGCTTGTAACTCTGTCAATATATACGACCAATAGCTCAAATCTGCCTCTATAGTGTTCTCTCTCTCAAATAAATTGAGAGTCAAATCGTACTGTCTCCTATGTTAGTCTGTGGTTTGGCTCTAATGCATCTGTGATGATACATTTTTCCGCACGCATAAAGAACAACAGGACACGCGCAGAGATAGGCAAGGAATGCGTCTAAGGTTAACTCACCTCCGTTGCATCACAGCCACCCCGATTTCTGATCACCGTACTAGGCGATGACGGCTCTGTTTTATCGTTTGCCCTCTGTAGCGATAGTGCTGTGTTAAACAGGGGCCGACCAGTCAGGCCAAGAGAGTGTATAATATCTGTTAGTGGGCTATGTCTGTTATCCAGGCCACGCCCATATGCGACCTGGCTATTTGAAAGCGTCGAAGAGATCAATTCTTGTTGATCGAAAGAATGCCTGCACACGAGAAGATTTATAATAGGGCCTGCAATCTCCTGAACATCAGGGAGAGGAATATCTCGGGCCGACACCAAGAAGCCAAAGCACACATTGTCGGACCCTGTATATGCTTGCAGCAGAAGGCCCCAGGCTACCTGGAAAAGATTAGGGATAGTGGTCGCATGGCGTTGACAGAAGTGTCGTAAGCACTGGGCATTATCTAATGTAAAACTCGAGGAGCGGAGCGCTTTCTGGTCCGACGGAGGGGAGACACTCAGTCGAGGGAAGAGACATGGTTGAACCCCATCCAGATAACGTTGCCAATATGCTTTCGATTCTACCTCGGACTGGCCGTGGATATACGCGATATAATCACTGTATGGAGGAGCGACAGGCTGAGGCCCTAGATCGTCATACGCCTGTTGAAGGTCCTTGAGAAAGATCTGTTGCGTGTAACCGTCGACTAGCATATGGTTAATCACGAGTTCACAGCGAACACTATCATCTGGCATCGTGTGGACTTTGAGTCGGTGAGCAGGAATCATGTTAGACTCGCCGCGGTGATCAACAAGCAAAGGGAGCATTTCATCCGCCGGTGCCCATGTCTGCACTTCGCAGTCCTCGATATCTGCCTTGGCTGCCTTAAGGACTACTTGTAAAGGCTCACAGCCCAGACTCGGATCGATAAAGAATACAGTCCGAAGGATAGGATGAAGGTCGACCACCTTTTGCCATGCATGTTTGACCTGAGTAATGCTCACAGGCGTACTGAGGTCTGTGGATGGATAGAGTGACCATTGTAGTCTCGACCAATATTTCTGGGGATCTTTGGTTTGACTTAGCCACATGCCAGTTTGAGCTGGCGAGCATGGGTAAATATCTTCAATCTCGGAAAGATGGGCTCGACGACCGATCTCAAGCATCAATTTCTCGAATTGCCCATCGTTGCCGATCGACAAGAGTGGAAAGTCGGACGGAGCAAGCTGTCGATGCCCTTTGAGTGCTTTTGGCAGGTCCTCGAATGTCCTCTCACATTCATGGAACCATTTTTCAAGTTTGTCCTGATGACACATGTGTCGATTGTACATAAATGAGATATTAAGTTGGCCATTCATTACCACTGCAGACACATCGATGAGGGCAAAACGAGGCATATCCTCGGGCATCTCAATGATCCCATGGTCGGGGATTGCAGCAAGTTCCAGGAGCGCATCTTGACGCTCCAGCTGCTGAAACAATCCTGTGTAGTTGAACAGGATCTCCATGGGCGATTGTCCCCGATGGTAGTGGCGGCCTTGCGGGTGTAGGTAGCGCGAGGAAAAATATGTCCATCCATTAGCAGGAATGCCACGACGAGCCTCCTTCACGCGCAGTACGAATGTGGACATGTTTTCGCCCCTGCTCACCGGCGCCCATACGGGAGCCAGGGTCGTGAACCAACCGACTGTGCGAGAAAGGTCGATGTGCGAATCCCATGGCTCACGACCATGGCCCTCTGTAAAGAGAGCGGGTGGTTTTCGATCGTCGAATATTTGGAGGAAGGAGTACAGCAGGGCAGCATGCATCAGCTCGACCGGGCGAGTGCGAAAGGCATCATTGCCAGAGCCCAAGATTGCCTGTGTCGCCTGTGGTGAGACAGTGAAAGAATGCTGCTTTGCCTCTGACCAGGTGTTCCTATCCACCAAGGACTGCCCGCCCCAGTAAGACAGCGGTGCCGGGGGCACCTTGGTTGGTAATGCTTTTTGTGGGTCAAGGCATTCTGCAACATACTCTTCTTGAAGGTGGCACCATTGCTGAAAGGTTAGAGGGGTCGGACCTGCTAATGTACCTGCGGCGAGGAAGTCTTCCAGATCCTGCAGGAGGACACGCCAAGACACGAGGTCTATCACCAGATGATGTGCCATTAGCGAGATGTATTGCTCTCCTGTGGGCGTTGTTATGAGATCAACAACAAGTAGTCTTCCAGCCCCAATATCTAGCAAGCTTTGACTCTGTAAGAGAATGTCTTTGATACCACTGTCGAGACGCTGTACCGTATGTTCCCGAAAGATAAAGCAATCACCACTATACTTAAGTATCCTTTGCTCCCAAATCCCAGCAGGGGATCGACGGAACTGAGCCCTTAGCATTGAATGTCGAAGCACAATTGCTTCTATTGCCTTCCAAATACGAGTGCTCTCCTGCAATATCGAAAGGCGCAGTAGGAATTGTTGGGTAAACCGATTATGTCCATCTGGACATACCTCAAAGAACAATTGCTGGACGGGAGAAAGCCTGAACCAGGTGTCTTCTGGGAGTTCCTTGGTGACATTGGGACGATAGCTGCTGACTGGTTTCATATTGTGTGCCAGTTGAGTTATGGTGGGAAATTGAAATATGTCGGCGACACTAACCGTATAGCCAGCGGTTTGGCAGTTGGCACCAACTTGCATGGCACTCACTGAATCCCCACCGAGGTTGAAGAAACTCTCAGTTACACCAATGTCGTCTGCGCTTTTGTTCAGAACCTGTGCCCAGATGCTTTGCAGGAGGACTTCTTCGGGGGTGGAGGGAGGCTGTAATGAGCACGGTGCTGCTCGGTACGATTTCATGGTGTCAGCAGAGAGTGTGCCAGCGTCTACTCGTAGCTGGCGACGATTCAGCTTTCCACTGGGCGTCAACGGCATCTGACCGACAGGAAGAAACAGTTTGGGGACCATGAACGACGGCAGCAAGTTCGATAACTGGGACTCGGCAATCGTACATGCCTGGCGGAAGGCGTCGTTAGGAGCAAGGAAAGCACTGCCATCCAGCTCTTGATCATTCGTAGCATCTGGCGCGGCTGGCCAACAAATAAATGCAGTAAGTGTGTCTACTGGAGGGTGGAAATTGTTGTCCTGTACGATTTCCACAACGACTTGTGGAGCATCGGTAAACGCAATGGACTGCAAAAGGTGCTCTATTTCACCTAATTCGATGCGCTGTCCGTGGAGCTTCACTTGGGTGTCCTTGCGCCCTAAGTATCGAAAGCTGCCAGTATCTGTAGTCTGTACCAGGTCGCCCGTCTTGTACATGCGGCCATGGACGTCGCCAAACTGCTGCCTCCACTTCGGGGGATGAATGAAGGTCTGAGCTGTTAGCACAGGGTTAGAAATATATCCGGGTCCAACAATTGGGCCTTCAATCAGCAGCTCGCCAGTACTACCCACTGGCATCAGGATCTGAGAGTCGTCAGGGTGCACAACCCATCCGACGCCGCCCGTTGGGAAACCAATATTCTTCGGATCATGCTCGGTTAAGCTTGGCTGAACGCTGAATACAGCGGAGCATTCTGCTGGACCATATGCATTCCGCAGATGAACGAATGGCTCCCACCGTGCGATGTCACCATCGAGGACAGGCTCTCCGACAAGGGCAAGGTCTTGAAGGGTAGGAAGGTCTTCCGGTGTGAGGATCCGCGCCACAGACGGAGTGAGGCAAGCGTTGTTCACACTATATTTATTGATCGTGTGTGCCAGGCGGCTGTGGCACTCATGGCCATTTGGAACACAGACGCATCCACCCTTAATAAGCGTACTAATATGTTCAATAATACATGAGTCAAATCCCGGGGAGGCAAATTGCAGAACACGGGAATGTGGTGTGAAGTTGTACTGTTCTGCATGGGCCGTAGCACTCGTCGCATACCCTCCTTGTTCGACCACCACCCCTTTGGGGGCCCCTGTCGAGCCAGAGGTGAAGGTAGCATACATAGGGTCTTCGGTAGAACAGCTGGCTATAGGGTGATTACCATCACAGCTCCGTACCTGTTGAAGAAGCAATTGAGGGTCTTCCTCGTCGATCACCAGGACTCGTGGCCCGAGTCGTGATGCGAGGTTACGGGTCTCACTTGTGCTGGCTACTAAAGATGATTTGACAGCCTCACACATCTGACGAAGCCTGCTTACAGGATACGATGGATCCAGTAAGACAAAAGCTCCGCCAGCCTTCATGACTCCTATCATCGCAAGCCCCATCCACATTGACTTTTCCAGACAGAGCGGGACGAAAACGCCCGGCGCGACGCCATGTTTCTTGAATCGAATCATAAGAGCATGTGAGAGGCGGTCAAGCTGATCATAAGTGAGATTGCCGTCCCAGCTACAGATCGCCGTCTCTTGGGGTTGTTTAAGAGCCATCTCGTGAATCAGCTCGGGCACTGTGTTCATTGTCATTGAAGGAATTGGCAGATTCCAGGTAGAGAGACTCTGTCGATCTTTAGGGCTGAGTATGTCGACTTCGGACAATTTTAATTCGGGTTGCCCCTCCAATTGAGAGTATATATTTACCAGCTGATGCAAAATACGATTCGTCTGCTGTGGTTCTAGTATCGCCGGATCAAACGTTGCTTGAATCGTCAGGGACCGGGACGATGGCCGGCACCGCAATATCAACGGGTACGTATCATACGTCTTCTGGATCTCCCAATTATGCTTGAATATCGAGGGGACTGGGTCGCTGTGCTCTGGCTCCACAGCGAGCAACGTGTTGAAGCGACACCCTGCGGCTGTATCGGGGCCAAGGTGCATCAGGTGCTGAAGGCCGATATGTGCAAACTCCATTGTGTCTGCGTACTGGTACTGAATGGCTTTAAGTGCGTCCGCAATGGTCCGCTGCGGCTGAAGCTGGACCCGTACTGGGACACAGACCAAGGCTGGCCCGCTCAGCTCATCAATGCCTTTCAAAGGTATGCCACGACCAGTATCGATTGCTCCAAAGAGCACATCGCCTGAGCGCGTATACAAAGACTGTAACATGGCCCAGGCCAGTCGAATCTTGGCGTTTATGGGGAACGCTAGCCTGCGGTCCTGACTGCAGGGGAAGGTTTGTGTCAATTCCTGTGACAAGATGGGGTTGTATCCAGGGATTGGCAGAGATGGAAAGGCCGTCATCTCGCTCTGGTGTGCATTGTCAAACTTCTCTCTCCAGAATGCCGCAGATCTATCTTTCGATTGCTCAATGTACTCGATCAATGGTCGAAACGGTCGGGGTACCAATACTTGCCCCTGGTATGCCGCATCCACGTCGTGCAGCAAAATCCTCATTGACCAGTCATCGCAGAGCGCATGGTGCATTAATGCCGTCAGGATATGTGCTGAGGGATCCCATATCAGCCTTGCGAGCGGAGACCCTGGCTGCCATATGGTACGTGACTGATCGTTTCTGTCTTCGTCTGGATTTCGTGTAGCACCAGGGCTGACCACGTCTTCGCCACTGGCGTTATACCCTTCACAGACGACCCAGGGAATAGGCTCCTGGAGCACCACTTGCATACAATTGCTGTGTTGGGTGGGAACTATCCGTGTGCGTAGTATCGGGTTCGCTTGGGTAGCCTGATCCCAGGCTGACCTCAAACGATCAATGTCGATGTTGTATGGCAAGTGATACTTGTACATCACTGTGTATGCTGTAGAGTCTTTAAGTGTGAGCGCCATCATTCCTTCTTGCAGAGGGGTACATGGGTATATATCTTCAATTTCGTCTACCGTGCAATGGCATTGGTCTGCGATTTTGGGTGCCTGTTCCTGCCATCCTCCAGGAACGGTATGATGATATTTCCGGCCATTGGCCCTTGCAAATGCATTCTTTGAGGGTGTCTTAGATTTGTGGGTTTCTTTCTCAATAGCGGAAATTGTGGCGTCAAGTGGCAGTAGGCCAGGTTTCAGGTCCCTGTGCTTTTGTGCTAGAAGGGGGACGAAATGCGGGTTAGAGTCTCCGGAGCCCATTTTCTCACCATATACGGGCTGTTTGGGTTATGAAATACTAGTAATAATTAATGTAGTCTTCTGTCTTTCTTTTTTCCTACCTTCTTTCTTTCACTTCACTTGACATTTGGTGATCGTCTTTCTTTAAGGCGTAGTACAGAGGTGTTTCATTAAGCGTGCCTAGAGGTACCTTTGAGGAATGGAGAGGAGTAGAACAAATACCTAAGAACTGTAGAGAATTTAATGCAAAAGAAAAATAGTTTCAAAGTCGACCGGGCGCGTTCAAATTGACGAAAGTACTAAAGCTATTCCGTAAGACACTCAATATCCTAGCCCTTATCCTGTACAGCTTTATATACATGCGTATGAGGGCTCATAGGGAGCAGCTGCTGCAGAATACTATCGCCCTAAGTCCATGGACGGAAGTAAATGAGCTCGACGACCGGTCTCGAACGATCAAGATGTTCATTCTCGTATCTTCATCCCACTCAATGAGCTCGTCGATTGGTCTCGAACGACAGAGACCTCCATGCTTGGTTGCCCACCCCAGTCAATGAACTCGGTGACTGGCCTCATGATTGAGACCCTTTATCCCTGTATGCTCACTTCAGCCAATGAGCTGGAAGACCGGTCTGTAACGATTGGGACTTTCTTGGCTGTATATTTACCTCGTGATCCGTAATGGTAGTATACAATGTAACCGGCTAGTCGAGAACATGGCTGTGGGATAAATTATCCGTCTGATACGAGAATAAAGATCAAGGTTCATGGTAAAGTCCAGCCACAATGGCATGTCAGGAGACTGCTCTTGTGCTGTTGTGTGTTACTACTGGCTGGATTCCTCAGCGTCGCAGGTGTTCCTTGGTAGGGTCTGGTCAAGGCTGTTGGGAACCATGGAATGGCGACGATCCATCCCGCACTCCGATAACCTTACATCGCTGTGGGAACTGCTATTTGACAATTCCCCCGCCGGAAGAGGAAGGAGGAGTAGCTATTAAAAGCTCAAATGGTACAGTAACGGTCGTGAAGAGCTAGATTGAGGATGGCGGGAGAAGCCGAACGTCGATCTTTGGAACGAACCTGATATGCCATATGGAGTTCGTAGGTCTAGACTTGTCGATCAGGGTCTCAGGTGATTGTAGCTATCTGGCGGAGCTTCTCTTCTTGTTTTCTTACGCTTATTTCTGAAGGGCCATCGGTTGTCCTCGCTCATTTCTCTTTCACGCACTATTGTCCATGGCATCAGGGGACCCCCAATACACATCCTCAGCATGGAGTCTTCGTCGTCTTTGCCGGCAAATTCTAATGTCGCGGGAGATAACATAGACCGCCGGCAGCAGCCCCCGGTGGATGGTGGTAACCATTCATCCTCTCTAAAGAGCTACATAGTATGGATCAAGCAGTTCCCACATGAAAAGGAATCTCCCCTAACAGAGATACCAGAGGATACTCTCATATGGGGCCAGAGGGGGAGGCCTTGGCCCCATGGTGCTCGGCCTGTTATGTGCAATGGGTTCTGGAGTGGTATGTTGACCCTAGGTACCACTAGAAGCAGCCTACCACTAACTCGGCGCGACAAGGCCTTGCCATTAATGAACATAGTTTTTGGCAATCTCACCGGTGACTTTAATCGCTATTTCACGTCGAGTGACTCGCTCAATGAAGACGCCTTCAGAGCATCCGTGAATAAGAACAGGCAAGTCCTATCCTCTACATCAGATCTTGCAATTACTAACAAGGTATCATGCAGTCTTTACATTGTGTACCTCTTCATTGGGAAGTTTGTCCTTACATATGTCTCCATGCTTTGCTTCCGCATCATCAGCCTCCGGGCTTCAGCAGCGCTACGCCTCGAATATATGGAGGCGCTGTTCGCCCAGCCCGTCCGCAAGCTGGACGAGACGTCTGTCGGGACGGTGACCAATGCTATCACAGGGTTGTCAAACACGATTCAGCAGAGTGTATCTGATCGCTTGGCAATCCTATTCCAGTCCCTGGCGCTCTTGGTGGCTGCGTATGCTGTGGCCTTTCGGTTTTCGTGGGCATTGACCTTGGTCGTTAGCTCTGCTATTCTATTTGTGCTTTTGGGGTTCAGTATTACAGTTCCCATCATTGTCAAGGCACAGCAAATGGTGGATCGCGCCGATGAAAAGCAAGCCGCTGTTGCAGCAGAGGTCTTCAGCGCGATCCGAACCGTTCTTGCTCTTGGGGCAGAGGTCCCGCTCTCCCACAAATACTCATCCTGGGTGAAAGAGGCTCGTAAACGTGCCGCCAAAATGTGTCCTGTTACTGGAATACATCTGGCCTTGCTTTTCTTCGCTATGTACTCCAGTTATGCCTTGGCATTTTGGTTTGGATTGAAGCTATATCGCGATGGAAACATCGCAAACGTCAATACCGTTATTGTGTATGTGTGCCCTTCTCATGCTGCCCGCCATCCAGAGTAGTCTGACATGTACTTAGGGTCTTTTTCTCCGTTTTGTTAGTGGTTACTGTGCTTGGTGGCATCGCATCCCCTCTAATGGCGATCACCAAGCTACGAGCGCCTCAGGCCCATTCTTTGACGTAATTGATTCAGATCGCGTTTCTATGAACGGGCTCCAAGACCCGGATGCTTCCAGCCAGGAGGATATTTTCTTCGATGCAGTTACCTTTGCCTATCCGACTCGTCCTGATACACAGGTGCTACGGAACTTCACAGCCCATTTTCAGAGGGGCAGTACGACTGCCCTTGTAGGCCCTTCAGGCTGCGGAAAAAGCACCGTGGTAGCTCTCATCGAGCGTTGGTATCAGATTCGGGGCACAAACCTGTCCGAGGAGAGTCAAACGAGCGAGGGCCGAATCCTTGTGGGTAAGCATAATATTAACGATCTGGACATAAAATGGTGGAGATCACAGATCGGCCTGGTCGAGCAGGAACCTGTTTTATTCAATGAAACGGTCTTTACCAATGTGGCCTTTGGGTTGGTAGGAACTCCATGGGAGCACGAGCCAGAGTCCGTGAAGATGGACCTGGTGGTGAACGCATGCCGTGACGCCTTTGCCAACGAATTTATAGACAGACTCCCTCTGGTAAGCCAGCCTCCCAGCTCCTCGCTCATACAGATATTGTTGCTAACCGGTGCCGTAGGGCTACGATACGGTGGTCGGCGAGGGTGGTATCACGTTGAGTGGAGGACAGCGTCAACGCTTAGCCATCGCTCGAAGCATTGTCTCCAACCCATCAATTCTAATTCTCGATGAGGCAACGAGTTCAATCGATATCCGAGGTGAGCAGGTCGTCCAGGCGGCCCTTGATCGGGTCTCTAAAGACCGAACTACCATTATGATTGCTCACCGGCTTTCCACGGTCATTCGGGCAGATCACATAATTGTGATCAAGGATGGCTCGAAAGCGGAGGAGGGCACGCATCAGGAATTGATGGACCATGGTGGAGTGTACTATAGCCTCGTACATGCGCAGCAACTGGAGATTGTGTCCCCGGATGCTGCAACAATCGAAGAGCATTCCTACACTCTCCCTCAGGAGACCAAAGTTGAAGTTTACGCAGCTGACGATTGCGAAGTTGCTGAGAATGAGGAGGTTATCAAGAAAAAGGGGGAGCCAGGCGCATTCCGTACCCTATGGCATATCATACGCGAGCAAAAAGCGCACTGGCTAGTATTCGCTCTGACCATCATCGGAACAATGGGTGCTGGCTGTAAGAGACCCTTTGTCAAATCCCTCTCAACAAGTCTATCATCGCTCATACACCAACTAACATGAATCGTATTTATATAGCGGCCTTTGCGTTCCAGAGCTGGCTGTTTGCAAAGCTCGTTCAGGTCTTTCAATTTACTGGCAACAAATTGATAGAAGCGGCGAACTTTTGGTCTCTAATGTTTTTTGTTCTTGCCCTCGCGATGGGCGCATTCTACTTCGATTTAGGCTATGCTTCCACATCTATGTCAGTTGTAGGTGACAGCTATATTCCTAATCTGACATGGTCCTTAGAGAAGAGCTAACATGACAAAAATAGCATATTGCGGCAAACTATCGCGAAGACTACTTTCAGAGCATCCTACACAAGCCCGTATCATATTATGACCAGCAAGAAAATTCCTCCGGTACCCTCATGGGCAGGCTGTCAACAGACCCAAAACAGCTCCAAGAGCTGTTTGGCGTTAATGGCATTTTCCCACTAATCTCGATCTTTAGTCTCATAGGATGCGTTGCTATCTCGTTCAGCTTCGGCTGGAAATTAGCTGCAGTAGCCTTTTTCGCTGCTTTGCCCTTCATTTTGCTGGCTTCATATTTTCGCATCCAATATGAAGTACAATTTGAGCGCATGAATGCAGAGGTCTACGCCGAAAGCTCCAAGTTCGCCACAGAGGCCATTCGTGCCTTTCGAACGGTTACTGCACTCACGATGGAACACACCATCCTGCAACGATACACTAATCTGCTGTCGCAACAAAGAGTCAAGGCTATTCGCAAGGCATGGCTTGCGACGGTGGTGGTTGCATTCTCCGATAGCATCGACCTTTGCGCTATGGCGCTCACCTTCTGGTGCGTAACAACATTTCCTGCAGCTCCCCTCTCATTACCTGTCGAATGTGTAAGCTAATGTGGGCAAACCGGCTTTCAGGTACGGTGGGCAGCTCCTTGCCTCTCGAGAATATGACCCAGTGGCATTTTTCGTGGTCTATATCGCCATTATCCAAGGGGGCCAGTCCGCAGGTCAGTTTCTTAGCTTTGGTCCTAATATGGCACAGACGACAGCATCTGCACGCCGCATACTGGGGACCAGATCTAGCCTGATGAATTGGACAATGATCGGATTCGGTGTCTACAATCGATACCTGGTGTTCCACCATTTCACCAGGCCGATGTGTGCTGCCGAGATCTCACCTTCCAGTATCCCTCTCGGGGTGGCCCTGTCTTTACAGGCATGAATTTCAGCATTCACAGTGGCCAGTATGTGGCGATTGTTGGGCCATCAGGATGTGGCAAATCCACCATTGTCTCTCTTCTGGAGCGGTTTTATGACCCTACAAAGGGGGGCATAGAGTTTGCAGGGCGGGATATCCGATCCTACCCACTTGCTTCCTATCGCGGAGCGTTATCTCTAGTCTCTCAAGAGCCCAAGCTATTTGAAGGGACCATTCGCGAAAACCTTCTCCTGGGTCTTGAACCGGGGGATGATGGGGAGTTTCCAGCATCGATAGAAGCCCGGATGATAGAAGCGTGCAAAGATGCTGAACTTCACGACTTTATCATCTCTCTTCCCGAGGCTACTCCACGTCCCTGGGAATTAATGCGCAGTTATCCCTGAGTGGTGGCCAGAAGCAACGACTATGCATTGCACGTGCACTCATCCGTAAACCGCGGCTACTGCTTCTAGACGAGGCAACGTCCAGTCTCGATTCACAGTCTGAAAGGCTGATACAGAAAGCTCTAGAGCGACTGGCGGAGAGAAAAACGATGACAATCATTGCGGTCGCTCACCGACTAGCCACTATTCAGAAGGCTGACTTGATACTTGTTTTCGGGGAAGGGGAGCCCGGCCAGGGGTCGGTTATCGTTGAGCGTGGTACTCATACTGAACTATTACAGAGAAGGGGTATATATTGGCAGATGGTAAGTCCTCTGGTCATCATTGGACAACTCTCATATCTGGGTCGCGACATACACTAACATTTATCTTCCTCCAGTGCCAAGTTCAAGCTCTGGATAGCCATCCGAATTAATAATACTACACATGGGCACAACATATAGATAGCAGGTAACGCTCATGTCTAAGAGAGGACCGTTGTGCAAATGCACGTCAAGGTGTATTCATGAGTACACATACATGTAATTTTTTATCTCTCGACACATTTAAAGGTGTGGGTAATCTATCATTTAATCTTTGGGGTAGGCTCATTTGGGGGGCGGTGTTGGGTGAAAACACTTGTAAGGAACATATATATACTTTTAATCGCTAGTTCTTTTGTAACTGAGGTTCGTCAATGGTAGAGCTTCTAAATCTACATCGTACTATCTGTAGATTTATGTATTTACGACGAGACGGAGCGAGGGAACAGGTACAGGAAAGGGGAACTGAAATATATTAAGGCCGTACAAAGGGAATGACTCAGAGTCCTCCACGCTTCTATTTGGAATAATACCCTGTCAGTGCCTAAGTTAGTCCCTACTCCCAAGTTGTACACACGACCTTTTCGCGCCCTACCACGGTAGGAATAGATCGGTGGATCCATGGGATTAGCACGAACATGCCAAGAGCCGGATCAATGCCGTCGCTCCAATTAGGGTATTTCGCACCACTAGTCCAGAGGCCATATCGGATGCTAGTATAGCGAGTGTTATAGACAGGGAATATAGTGGATGGTTTATGCGTTTCGTGTGGTTTGACTTGGGCTAGACCAACGGAGGAGCATCCGACATCAGCCTTAATGCTGATATTAATGCACAAGGATTGCCCTGGCTATGTCTCGGCAACCACACAAAGAGGTTGCCCTGCCCGTTGAGTCTGCTAGGGGTTTAATCTGACTCTAAGGATTTGCTGCAGTCGTTGGAGGATCGACGGTACGTTTCATGCTGGGTGGGCAATCAGAGTTCAGGCTTCAAGGCGTTGGACATAATGACTATAAACAGCCTCTAGCCTCATCATTCAGGATCCCTATACATGCGTGATTCCTCTGTCTATTCAATTATGCAATTTCAGTCGGCACTTGTTGGTGTTTTGTGTGCACTCCACTTACTCAACCAGGCACTCGCCTCTTCAACCCAACGGCCGATCTACGCGATCGCACACCGAGTCCTACGAAACGAAGCAGTAACCGCCGCCCTCTCTCATGGTGCGAATGCATTAGAGATTGACCTAACAGCCTGGTACTTCGACTGGTGGGCAGACCACGATGGAAAGTTATTCAGTGCAGGTGCTACAGCACGCGACCTCTTCCGATTCATCGCGCAAAAACAGTGGACAAAAAACTACAATATTTCCTTCGTATGGCTGGATATAAAAAACCCCGACTTTTGTCGAAGAAACCGACCCTGTTCCATTGAAGCCTTGCGGGATTTAGCTCGAGAGATTCTCGAGCCAGCTGGTATACGGGTACTCTATGGCTTTTTCGAAACAGCTGAGAGTCGCGGGTTCAAGGTGATCAGGGACGGTCTGAACGCAAACGAAGCGGTAGTTTTGAGTGGCGAGACGAGTACTATCTTGCACTTGTACAGTAACACGGGGAGTGGTATAGCAGTCAAGCAGATGGCTATGGATTTTGGTGATTCGTGGCTTGGAAAAGGAGTCGACATTTACCCACAGCTTCGGTATGGAAGTTGGCAGCGTGACAAAGGGAAACTTGGGAAGGTCTTCAGCTGGACTAGTGCCGAGGGCGATGCGAGATGGTGAGGTATCTACTGGGTGAGGCTGGTATTGATGGGCTTATTTACGGATATCAAACTGATGAGTATAACGATAAGAGTGGCCCAAAGGTTGCTCTGAAGGATATTGTCGACTTCGTTGAGAGTCATTCGGGTACTCACCGCATGGCTACAGAAGATGATGCGCCTTGGTAGTCAAAAAGCTGTTATATATATCTCCTCCCCTGGGTGGCTGTGGTTCTTGTTCTCTTGCAGTAGCCCCTTGTATCAGTGAACAAATAAATATTAGAATTCTAGAATATTTATCTAAATATATTCCAATTCTCACAACGTACTTATTCCCTAGCCCTAGAAGCTAACCCTGCGGGTCGCCTTGGAAACTTATGCGTATTCCCCTCTTCATCCTGCGCTTCTCCATCGCATCCATCATATACCGGGATGAACTCCGGTGGAACAGATGGGCAGACCTCCTCCATATTATCACTCCGAAGATTTATATAGAGCCACCACAAGATCCCAATCTTCACACGCATGAACCTGAATACCGGGGGTTATCCTTTCGCTCAGGGTCATACATCCCATCAACCATGCCAACAAACCCATCCGGCCGCGTAAACCGATCTTCACTGTCCGGCTCAGGACAGGCAATAATCGACTTTAACGACCGTTCATCAATAACCATGCACGCTCGGAACCGGCCACAGCCCCCGTCCAACCCAAGCTTGGTCTTACGAAGATAGTTTGCGAAATGCTGACGGATCTGCTCGATCCCGGCACCGTTCCAGCGCTGCTTATCGGAGATCACAACATTCTTATAAGATTCCTGCGCTAGTCTTTCAGGGCGCGGATTATTGCCGAAGCTGTCCGGAAACTCACAGAGATCCTGTTCGATCTCATCGTTTATAAAGCGCGTGAGTTTGGCCATCGCGAGGGGCCATAACTCGTCAGACTCGGTGGTGTACACAGTGCGGTAGATGATATAGCCCCAGGGAAAGCCGAAGGATAAATTCCACCGCAAGAATTTGCTGGATAGACGGTTTGAGTGGTTGTACCAAGCTTCGTTCATCCAGGCTGTCATAGCCTCGGAGGTGAAATCCGGGTGAGACCAGCGCTGGGTCCAGGTTGGATGGTGGTAGAAAGAATTTTCGTCTAGCTCTTCGACCTGGTCGTCGATTGAGGGCTCTTCCGTGAGTATCGAGTTCGTGGCTGGATTGTAGAAAATCACCCAGTATCCGAAGAGGAGCAAAACGGCAACGTAGTAAATTATATAGAGTTCCATTCTGTCAAAGAAGGATGTCAAGGAAGAGAGGTTGAGTTGAGAGTGGGAGTGGGTATAAAAGAGGGCCCACCATGGTAGCGGCAGAACCGGAGACATTCTGCCCCGCACAGTCAGTGGCTACAGTATCGAACCAGCCCTCAATGATACACCGCAGCCCGCGTCGCAAACTGATTCTGTGAGCGTATCATTGCCCAGTGGGCCTTGGTACACATCCCGCAGGAGCATCTGTATGTATAGGTCACACTTGATCACTTGCATTAGAGACCTTTTACACGCATTGGCCAGACCTTTCAAATCCTCTGTGTCCGCATCGGAGGCTTCCGATGATTGACCACCCGAGCAGAGATGACAGAAGCCCATTCTTGTTGTCACTGGCGTATGTCGGAGTTTCACTGTGAGGGCTCACCATCTCTCCGATGGCCTTAGTGACTAAATTGTATATCTATACATAGTAGCTTTCTGCGATCTCGAAAGCTCTATCCTGGCAAGGACATTCTTCCACGGAATACTGGGAGTAATCCGAGAACTAGCCGTAGAACCCTGCAACTGGAGTTAGACAGCTGTTATAATAGAAATAGTGTAAGGGAAACGACCGTACCTGCACCAAATACACAGACGATGAAGATAGAATAGCTAGACGATGTAGTAGTGGCACTGACCTACGGGGCGACCAGCAGAGGGTCCGAAGTAGCCCCAGTGTGGTATGAGAGCAGGAAGAGACGGACTGACCGAACAATAGCCGAAGGTCAGGCGCCTGATATGTTATCCCTTTTATACTCTGCTTAGGCCGGAAGGAAATAGTTAAGGCACATCCTTCGATGGGCCTCCTTGAACGTTGGCCATGTATTTGGCGGAGACCAGAACGGCTCACGCGAAGTACGTGGGACCTTTGCACTCATATATAGCCCATTTTATACCCCAAGAGTATCAACAGTACGGAGACAGTTCCCTAAAAGATGTTAAGTCACCTGGCCTCACAAGCGTCCTTGGGGTGAGACACGGTTTCAGTGCCTTTGGCCCTGGTCACCAAACCATCGAAAGGAAAGTGTGGGTCTCTCGTGTTTTGGTCCACTGATAATTAGTGATCATAAGCAGCAACGCCTAAGTTTTTCTAATAGGCTATATAAGCTAGCACTCTAGGTTCAACCATGTCCAACTAAATACGGTCCGCACATCGGGTAGTAATGAGCAAGCCAAAGAAATGTCTGGGCTAATATAGCGGTGTATTTTCGGGCTCCGAGTGCATTCCCTATAGAGACATAGAGGTGCTCGCTATCTGTATAGAACGCTGACGCCTACAGGGATTATTAAGCTAGTCTGAGACCTAGGGCTAGAAAACCTTAGTTAACAGGGGCATCACCAATCCGAAGACCTGAGGTCTGCGGCGTGGGATTTACCCTATGCCACGCGATGCACCTGGTACCGTAGTATGGAGCTGAGCGACCTTTTAAATCCTACACATGAAGTTTATTTCAGAGAGCCGAAGCTATACTCAAAATATAGTGTCATGCATAAGCCACCTGTGAATCCAGGGCCTTGGTCTGAAACAGGCGCTAATTCATTCAAGGTAAACCCCACGTGTTGATACGATCATGCGAGGAGGTACATCGAATCCCTTGCGAATGTGCCCCGGTTTATTTTCGATCCCTGGGACTGGGTCCCGCAAGCCAGGCCAGGAACCAATACTTGCTGTCTGTTAAATCACCCAATGTCGGTGTGGACAACGGAACTTCTCAAACTGGAGGCTACGGCAGGGATATCTAGTCCACTTTTGAGCAGGGCTATTCAAGCGATGTAACCCAACATGCTTAGGAGTCAAACTAGTCCTATCGAGTGTGTTAGACTGGTGGTGGTTAGGGCAAGACTATTACTCTCGCCCGACACTATCGTCTATACATGATGTAGTCATAAATCTTGAAAACTTTCCCTACGTTTTTGTTTCAGGCGGGATGTGGCTTTCCATATCGTTACCAGTTATATATATCCCTGATGTCTTTAGCAATAAAAAATTGTCTACAGGGAAGGCAAAGACAGGCAGAGGCGTTATATCAGCAGACACTAGCAGACTACAAGAGAGTAGCGGGAGCTGAGCGTTTAATAGCACGGTGGCAACCAACTTGGCGTCGCCTTAAATTTGGCGCTGGATGAGGCACTGTTGACACCGGTACTAACCTAAGTATTTCCGTGCTTTATCTTAGATATTTATTGCCGGCTTTATATCTTCCTTGTCTGAACCATTATGCGCATGCTTAAGGGACGATAGGGCTATGAAACCAACGAACATAGGTAGCAAATACTCTTCACATCCCCGCCGAAAAGCCCTCAACCTTCACACCCCAGCTCTCCGGAAAATGGATCCCCTCTTCACCATCCCACCCTCCAGCCATCATCGCAATGGCAAGCAGCAACGCTGAGGAGGCTGGGAAATACGGAGTCGGAACCACCGTCCCTACAGGATTACCTACGTCATCAAACTGGAAGTTCGGGTGTAGTAGATACTCAATAGCCTCATCAATATTTCCCAGACGCAGCGATGTCATCGCTAGCATCGGAAAGTCCCATCCATAGGAGGCTGTGAAGTTCCACGTTTGGGCGATGAGATTCATGGTAGCATTCACAGTTGATGGATCTACACCGGTGGTTGGCGGTAGAAGCCCATAGACGGCAATCTGGCTGGGATGATCGGATGTATAGCTGCTCTTATTCCACATATCCGGCAGATCAGCACAAATAGAGTATGCACCGTGAACTATAGGAAGTGGCGCAAGGTTGTTGAGCACTCGAGTCCAAGGTTCAGGGACAGATACACCTTGCCGAGTCTTCCAGTCCGAGGCAATCTTCAAACCAAAGCGCCAATAGGCCAGCTCGAAGGTAGGGTTATATGTTGAATTAGGACTCGTATTCTCCGACGATGGGTACATTGGTGGGCCGAGGTCATATACCTGTGTAGACGCGTTCCACCACGCATACGAAACCATCCATGTTGCGAGCTCATGCAGAAGATGATCCCACTTGTTCAAGGTGTCTACGCTTGGCGACGAGCGATACTCCAGCTCAGCAAAATACATCGGGTGTGGTTGCTGCCAGATGAGTAGCGCATTTTGCGACCCAGGCGCGGATGCCCCGGATGGGTCGCTCATCTTTCCAAGTCGCGCACCAACGTATCCTTGCCTTTCGGCACGTTGGGTAGAGGACGGGAGAAACCGGTTATACACATCCAGGCTGCGATTTAGTATATCCCATTTATTCCATCGCGCCCAGTGGCCCAGATGCCAGAAAACCATCTCGAGGTGGAATTTGCCGTACCAGCCGTTATTCTGCAGACCGGACTCTTGCGGGGGATCTTTACCGGCACTGTTCACGGCTAACAGGTACTGGGAGAGGATAATACGTCGCTGTAGCTCGTCTGCATCTGAAGATCCGGATTCCGTCAGGTCTACAAATGACCCGGATTCCCAGTATTCAGCCCACCAGCGTGTGGAGGCCCTTTTGACAGCTGCGAATGGTTTGATCCTCGTTCTTGTAGATGATGAAAACTCCGCAATAAATGTGAACTGATTTGTACCTCCGGTAGGTTGGAGTAGATATCGGTGTGTCCCCTTAAAAGGACCGGTCATATTGCCCGCCTGTTCCCATTGAATGGTATTATAGTACGTTGTACCTCCCAGTGAATGGCTAATAACAGCCCCCTTTCCTGTAACATTTTTCAACACAGTTGTATGGTCCGAAATCGCCGTCCAGTTGCCCACAAATGGCGCCTCGAACTTGTTCACTCCTGTGGTCAATGAGTAGTCAAAGAACACGCCCAAGGTGCCATCCCGCAGCAGCGATGATTGCACATCAACAGCGACGATATCAGCGGATGGGTCTCCAGCAGTTGTAACGGAAACCCTTTGTCCATGTAGAGTAAACTGCGAACTCAGAATTCCGCTATACAGATCAAGACTCTGCTCCATTCCAGTGACATCATCGATCGAGATGCTGTCACCTTTGTATAGAAACCCAACCCGGCCAAGGTTGACCCGATGTGGATTGGCAATCAGCCACTGTGAGATCTCTGCCTCGGCCGGGTTCGGTATATCATAATTCACAAGGCGATTGTGCGTCCACCAGTCCAGACCCGTAAAGTCTGGCGGCTCGGTTTGGCCAGGCGTTCTCGGTAGAGAGTCGTTAGACCAACACCAGGAAGATAGTATGTTAAAGGGCAGCAATGTCTGCAGACCTGTGATGTCCGCCCCGAATGCGAAGTTACCGTTGCCAACCTGCATGGGGGTTGTGGTAGACAGGTTCGTGCGTATAGGGTTATATCGACGGACGACATTTTGGCGATTGATCACTGGTTTGTCTGCCGCAGCTGCATGAATAGTAGTACATATGACTAGGACAATAGTTCCCAAGGAGTTCAAAATGAATCCCATAATGCAGGCTCTGGTGTGTCTCCCCGCCGTGGTGGCATTGAGGTCACATCACCAGATGCTTGGTAATTGTCGATCCACTACATCTTTATTACACATCTCAATAATGCGGGGGATCATCTAAATGTAAGCCGGACTCGTTCTTTTGCGGGGAATACTAATAGTAGTTCAAACTTTCATGGCAAATGGAGGACCAACGCTGCTATCGGGTGTCGGGTTAAACACGCCCGAAACACAGCATATAGCCTAAAGATACATAAACCGTAGCTTAAATCAAACACCATTGGTGGAACAATATTAGCCAGAGGCTGGTAGGGAACAAGCGCTGAAAGTCGATAAACAAACATTATTGTATATCAAGATTACAGTAGTATCACAAGTTCCCAAGCATACCACACATAGACAAATGAGGAAATCATGATGCAATATGTCAGCTGTTTAATCATAGCTGAACGCCCGTCAGACGGGGAAGCTTACTTCCAGTTCAGGGCATAATAAATCAGTGACTAGCTAGCCAAAATTGGCTAAAGCGAATCTGGTATCTGGTAATTATCCTTGGTACGCTTACACGGGAAGATGTGACCATCGATGCAGGGTAGAACGCCTTCTCAACTTTTAGCTTCACCTCTGGTCCCATGGCTCAGAATCCGCTATCCAGAAGGAGCTTTTAAACAATATCACCCCACATGGGCTCGTATTGGCCCGCTTTACATCATTTCATCGTGTACATGTCTTTGCCCATGCTGAGTAATTCGCGCTGCTTAAACTCGCATACAAGATACTTACCTCGTCTAGTATATCACCACAAAGCGTCCACCCGGACTAGGTGATTTTGCCACGTTACGCTAGGTACGGTAGAGCAGTGACAATAGGGACAATAAAGGCTTCAACAAGGGTGGCAGAGATGCCAGAAGCGCCTCGTCTATTGATTGAGAAGCTTGCAATTGGTATCCTGGGGAAGACCATTCCTTTCCTTCTGTCAACCTTGCATATAGACGTCCTAGATGAACTAAATGACATAAAGAGAGAGGCGGGTGCCCCCCAGCATTCAGTCCCATTGTAGTAACGTTGTATGCTTGAGAGCTAGGGTCGACATTGGATTTGTCGGAGATCTACGAAGCGGTACATGCCGCCATAGTAGGACTCATTTCGTGGGATATTGTAGTCGTCGGATTAGTAGGCATTGAAATGATTTGACACCGATCTATGAAGTCTCCACGTAGTATGTGGTTGCCATTCCAGCCAAACCCAGATCGAAGAAGGATGCTACGGTGGTATCAAAAGAGGCGAGCTACCAAGGAAAGAAGTGTTGCCGTAGCTGTAGCTCAATCAGTGGCCCTCTGAGCTTGTTATATACCGTTTGGCGGAATCAAGCGCCATAGCCGAGCATGGCCAACACCTTATGGATACATAGCTGCGACGTCACATAGTAGCTATATGGGCGGCCAGGAAGGTCAAGCTGCAAGTAGAGCTTATTACCACAACTACATGGGTTATCAGGACGCAAATGACAGTTAAGTGACGACACAATACACAAGCATGACACAGAAGGCGACTTCTTGAGGTAATTTCATGTGTGGATAAGGCCATATCGTGTGTTTCATGGTTAGCAGTATGGCGATGACAATCTAGAACAAATCTTGCCGCTATTACATGACTCTTGTCAAGCAAAAGTTCGAGCCGAGTGGTTTGCTTTACCGACCAGAACAGATGTAGATATGCGTCATGGATCATCTGACGAGAGCTACGCGCAGCGGATATAATATCCACGGCGTAGCGAGCCATAAGACCACTCACGAGCAGTTAACTGCAGCTAACCTTACCGTTCGTTCGGCCAAAGCGAGAGGAGGCTATATCCGCATCCGGCGAGAGCTGAGCTCTCGGTTCGTATTTTCAGCTCGCGATCCATGGATCAACCTCACCCGATGACATCGAGCCGAGAACAATTCAAAACCGACAATCCCTATTATGCTCAGGCCTATAGAACGCGAAAATGTATATAAAGCAGCTGAAAGCTATGCTGAAGATGTATACAACAAAATCATCAGAAGCTTTAATCTCAATCAGGATCATCAAATAGATATACTTCGCGCCTTTTTATCCACGCGATACTTCCAAAATGCGGTTTATTCCACTTGCCTTGGGCCTAATGGCCACCTCCAGCGTCATTGCTGGTCCTACCAACGTTCAGTCCGTGACCGTCCAGCTCAGCAACGAGCAGTCTGGCGCCAACGCCAACGTTGATATTCCCACCGACGGCAACCCACGCTCCATCCAGGCCCTCTGGGGCCATACCTCTGTGGTTGTCAACGGCGTCGTTAGTGCCTCGAGCGCACAGTTCAATAGGTTCCAGCAGACGAGCGTCTGCCACATTTTTCAGCACCCCAATGTGAATGCCGAGCTCAATGCACGGCAAACCTGGGTCAAGCTTGATCAGGGCAAGGTGGTCGAGCTTGATCACGGGTTCATTGTCTGCCGGGATTAGTATTAATCTTCATGGCGAGTGAATATTGAAATGTTGTGTACGGCTATCTCGGGCAGCTTAATACTGTATGTCAAAACTGTAATTATCGGTGGAACCGGGGCTTGGATATGTGTTCGCGTACTCTAATTGTTGATAAAGTTACCAATATTATCTAATGTGAATTTTCCCTAAATGCGTCAGAGCCCCGCGTGGCAATTTATTTATACTCGGAATGAACGGAATTGATGTCAATAAGAGGAAAATTCGACATCGATAAATAGTAGCCACGCTGACAACTGAACGCAGCCATGTAGAATTGAAGCAACCGGCGCAGCATTAGATATTACTGTAGAGCACCAAACTAAGTGATAGGCAACATGCCCATAACGTAGAAATAAGAATGACTATAGCTTGACAGGGTTCGGCTCGTTTATATTCCCAGGATAAATCCAGCCACCTCACATTCCTATCTTATTTAGTACTAAGCTTTTATACTGACAAACTAGTGCTCAGTACTACTCTCCGGACATTCACTTAAGGCCACACACTGGTCGTCCTATAATTTCGGGAGAAATTAGTCCGCTGTGTTTAGTATATACTGACCCGGTGATACTTACTGCGTTGCGTACATAGCCCTCTATACACTGACAGCCTACAACACATTGCATGGTACAAATTTGGGCATGTGGTGAATCGCAAGAAGGAGGACAAGCGGTCCCACATTCCTTGAATTCTTCATTCTAGAAAATTCAGGAACCAGAATTAACATTTGAATCCGCGATTTGCTTCTCAATGTAGAGTCTTACCTCCCCAGAACATGTTGGGGGCGCCACAGCTGAAGCCCCTACCAGGAGGACTGCGAGAAATGTCCACGTGAATTTCATCTGGTAGTCTGTTAAGCTTGTTAGAAATATCTTGTGCAGTCTATAGGAATGAGGCATATTGTTGTCATACCAGAGGTAACGGTTCTCGATTGATGAATGGGATGGATCAGTAGTGAAACCACGGTTATAACACCCGTCGCTAGCAGGAGTTAAATAGAAATCAGTATCCAAGCACGATGCAAGACTTAAATACTCTGATGGCGAGCCCCTTGCTTGGCTGTTCTCCATAGTACAGCAATAGTGTTGCCGATCTGCCGGACATAATTCGGAGCATTCCTCGCGGGTTAGTTCGATCGACCCGCAGTGGCTTTGTTGACCCCTAGCTGCAGAAGCTTTATCTATAAATAGTGACGCTGCCTATACGAAGCAGAGAAACAGAAAGAAATGAATAAACATCATCGATCGACAGTACATGGCACAACAGTTCGCTATATACAAAAATCTAATGTTTGATGTAGTGGCGATCAGATTATTTGAGTTTGACGACTTCACGTTGACCTAAAAGCTTTGAGGCTGTGCCTGTGCTTTTCTATTGCTGGGTGCGAGGGCTGGGACTATTGCACAGACTGTATAAAGTCAAGGATTGATGTCTCACAGCCGCCGAACGATCCCGTTCACAGAATAGAGAGTATTAAAGCCGAGATCGCCCAACGAAGCCACACCATCCACTAATGCATTACATCCAAGACCAGCACCCAATCTGCATGTCCACTTGTTCTAGGCGGGGGAAACGTCCGAATAGTTGTGTTTTCGCCACACTGAGTATAATCAAGTTTGCTATACGCGCCACTCAAGGGATCATACCAGCTTGCCTGCACATTACAAGAGCCCAGACTCGTTGTCTCAATCTGGAACGGCTTCCCCGTGGGGGTATACACCATGATCCAGTCACCGCCACTATCCCTTGTTGCTGTGACCCGTTCATCGTCAGAACCAGCATTCCCCACGATAATATCTTGTGCTGGCACACGCCTGAAGAATGTTGTATTCCTTCGATCCGTTATCGCCTTCTTGATCCACTCCATCTGGCTAGATCCAGGTAGATCGAGATCCATGAGCCAGTTGTCGCTTGGCCCACTACCGTCGGAGGCGAAAACTCCAGGAATAGCGCACTGTTGGATGGCATTCGCTCCGTAAGTTAAGCCCGCTGCGCCCGAGAAGACCTAATCTCTTTCGTCAGTACTGCTCTCCGTCGTCCCCTACGGTAACAGCATCGAAATGCGTTCAGTGGATGTGGGCCATACCGCTTGCCAGCTTCCGATCCGCACATCGCTTGCATTCCAAACAGGCTTACTGCTATTACCATTATTATATCTGTTCTCATAATGCGCCTCATTATCAATGACCGGCCGCACACGGCCCCCAGGCACCGAGCCCGCGGCGTACATAAGCTCGACGGGCTCCCAGCCGCGCCGACAATTCCACCAAGGGATGGGAGGGTTTGGCGGGTAGTCTGCGTGACCAGATTGACTTGCGTCCAAGGTAAGCCATGCCCGGTCTCCAAAGAAATCATGTGCAAGCGCAAGCGGCCCGCCCATGAACCATTGGTTTGTCGGGTGGATCGACATCAGCGGCGACCATGTCGTGGCATTCTGGGCAGATGCCTCCGCGATCGTTCGTCGCTCGCCGGCAACAATACCATTGGCCAGGCCATCGTAAACTGGCGACCAGTCAATGACCTGGTAATTTCGAGGAGCACCACCGTTGGTATAATCTGCTTTTACGGCTGTTTTGTTTAGCCAGTAAGGGTTTGTGTCGCCAACAAGGGTCTTTGGAAGATAAGGATATCGCTGGCCGAGGAATCTCCCAAATGTGAATGCAGTGTTTGTCGTGAGTACGCCGGCAGAGTTGTCTAGTACTGGTCAGACCAAGCTATGCTGTGTTTTAAAGCCGTTATGGCTGAAGACACACCGTTGCCGTGCACATATTTTCCCCATGCGGGGACCATGCAGATTCGGATACCTTTACTCCATGCTAGCTCAACAATGGAGTCGACGTAAGCCCAGTAGGGCTCGTTGGGCTTTGTAATGTCTTCGTTTAGAAAAGGCAGGTCGCCATTTCGGTTCGGACTGTCGATACCTGCCTGGGTAAAGGCAACGGCTAGAACCATTGTAAACCCTTTGTTCGCTCGGTCGGAGAGGTATATCTCAGCCTCGCTGAAGTTGAGGCGATGGAACAACAGCCATGCTGTGTCCGCCTGCCAGAAGAATGGCTTTCCATCGAGGTCTTGGAGGAACCGGCCATTGGAGGACGGAGTGATGGCATATTCCTCTGGGACTTGCCATGCTACGGCGGCTTGCAAGAACGGGAGAGTGGTGTAAAACAGAGATTTGAGCTTCATAATGGTGCTTTACTAATAGCCAAAACCGTTGCAGCTCCATGTATCATATATATCGCCATTGTGGTGCAAGGCCTTCCGGTCCTTGGGCCTTTTAGCGGCTATTCCACGAGGGCAGATGAGCATAGAAGTCGAGTCGAACATCACTGTTAACCTCTCTTCCTGCATTAGTACCCGAGGCCATGGACAGGAAATTCCACGAATGGCATATGTTCCTGGAACATTCAGTGGTTCAGAATCTTCCTATCGAAAACAATGTTCAGATGGCTCAATGCGGGGTCTGGATAAACCCACATCTACCCCGCAGTTTGGCTTAACATAAGGGATAGGGCTAACTCAATCATGTAACTCTTAGAGCATGAAAGTCAGAATAGGAAATCCTAAGCACCACTGTTCACGATATAGCCTCGAGCAAAAGGCGTGGTGCACGGCCTCACAAGAGATCTTTGCTCGGAGCCCTTTACCGACTGTTAGGATAGTCCACCAACCAAAATGTAGAAGATTCATGCATGGAAATGTTCATATCTTCCCACGCTATGCCCTGAATTCTTCACTAACCGTCATGATTCCCATTGTACCTCAATATGCCCGACACATTGCTTGGGTTCCTGTTGATCGCCAGTCTGGCCTTCGGCCATGGGGACCACCAGAACAGTACATACACCAACCCAATTCTTCCAGGATTCCATCCCGATCCCAGTTGCATATTCGTTCCATCCCGGGACAATACCTACTTTTGCGCCTCCAGTAGCTTCAATGCCTTTCCCGGGATACCCATCCACGCCTCAAAAGACTTGCGAAACTGGAAGCTGATTGGAAATGCTATATCGAGGCCAGAGATGCTGCCGAAGTTGGCGGATACAATCAAGGACACAAGTGGGATATGGGCACCCACGCTTAGGTACCGTGAAGAAGGGAGCAATAGCCCCAATAATGGAAGTGGCCATGGAAAAGGTACATTCTGGATTAGTACAACCCTGGTGTTTGATGATTTGGCGTCGGATGACGAATCGCGCTGGGACAATTTTGTGATAAGCACAGATGATCCTTTCAATTCGGATAGCTGGACGGATCCCGTGCATTTTGACTTTGGAGGTTACGATACATCGTTGTTTTGGGATGATGATGGACAGGTCTATATAACAGGAAGCCATGAATATAAAGTCTGGCCGGGGATCCAAACTGCCACGATTAACCTGCAAACAGGCGACACAGGATCCTGGACAAACCCATGGAATGGCACGGGAGGCTTGGCGCCAGAGGGTCCGCATCTATATAAGAAAGATGGCTACTACTACCTAATGCTGGCGGAAGGTGGGACGGGAGAAGGTCATATGGTGACTATGGCGCGGTCGAGAAATATCAACGGACCCTATCAGCCCGCGCCTCACAATCCCGTGCTCACTAACGCGAATACCACGGCTTTCTTTCAAGCAGTGGGACACGCCGATCTGTTTCAAGACGCCCAGGGCAGCTGGTGGGCAGTCGCGTTGTCAACACGTTCTGGACCTGATTTCAAAAATTATCCGATGGGCAGGGAGACGGTTATGACCCCTGTGACTTGGGAAGCAGGCGAGTGGCCCATCTTTCAGAGTGTAGAGGGCATCACGAACGGATGGGACCTTCCCTCCCAGCCCATGATTATCTCTGATGGTCAGGGTCCTTATGTCGACAGCCCTGATCATCTGACGTTCCCACCGAACTCGACATTACCCTTGAATTTAATACATTGGCGACTGCCAACACCGGATACCTATATCGTATCGCCGCCAGGGTATGAGAATGCACTGGTACTTCGTTCGTCGGTGTTAAACCTGACCTCTACCGACGGAAGATCCACCGGCGCTAAGGGCCAAACATTCATCGGCCGACGACAGACTAACAGTCTCTTCACGTATCACCTGGACATTAACGCTTCCACTCTGCGTAATAACGGGGATGAGGTGGGCATCAGCGTATTCTTGACCGAGGCATATCATTTCGACCTGGGAATAGCCCTTCTTCCACAGGGAGACAATACCGAGATTTCCGGTGAACTTGCACCCTTTTTCCGGTTCCGTGGAATGTCAGGGAGTTCTGTTCCGGAGACAGTGTTCCCATTCCCACCGCATATGTCAATCGATACACCGGTTACTATGGAAATCAAAGCGTTTAACTGGACGCACTACTCATTCGCGGCGGGACCACGAGATGCTACACATCTCATGCAGACATACGGGGTCGCACGTGGAGACCAGCTGAGTGCGGGCTTTACGGGGACGGTAGTAGGGCCTTATGCGACTACTAATGGTCGAGCGGGAAGTGTAAATGGGGAGTTCGAGGTGTCGGTTGGAAACTGGACGTATTTACCACAAGGGCAGATTCTCAATTAAACCTTTGAAGTGTTGTTGTCGGGATTGCTACCAGTGTCGGCCAGAACTGCGTTGTACGGAGTAAACATTCATATTGACAACCAGGAAATAGATAATAGTAAACATTCTTCGCTACTCTCCACATAAGCCTAGGTCGCGCCATATAGTATCGGCACAAACCGGATCCTCATCAGTAAACGGCGTGTCATCCATCTGTATCCCCTCATTATCGGAGGCCATCACTGCGGCACTCTCAGTTGAGGCTGGGAATAACCACATTCCGTCTAGCGAGACCGAGTCACACTCTTCTGATGCCTCCTCATGCAACTTTTCCATTTCTGGACACAGTAGAGGTTGATCGGTCAGGGGTTGCTCGGCTGCCAACTCTGCGACAGGCAAGGATAGCGGTAGGTTAGCCTCCTGATATAGAGGAAGACATTGGATAGACGGGAGGATAGGAAAGGAACTGGGGGCTTCAAAGGCCCCGCGGCCTGTTGACATGAAATAGTCCACAACCGCAACAAGCTCAAAATAGACAGACGGTTGACGACTGAGGAGTTCAGACAGTCCACCCCTAGAACATCGATTGGCGGTAGCCATAGCTGATTGAGATGGTGTATCGACAGGCTGGCTTCGCTGTTTCAAGAGTTCCACGCCCCCGTGGGATACACGAAAGTCAAAAGTACGCACTATATGTCGAATCCAGCAGGAGATATATTCGACATCGTAGCGTATATTGTAAAGGCGAGAGATCTCCGTGTAAAACCTAAGAGGCTGCTCTTGACGTTGTCTCTCTATGTCGTTCCGACAGAGCCGGAGGTTGATGTTTAGCAGAATCTGCGGGGCAACGGTGTATGCGACAACGCCAATGGGTAATTGACCTGTTGTGCCGTCGATCACAAACCTTTTTACTCTGTCATTCATCGTCGTCAGAGCGTCCATTAAGTCGAGCTCCGGGTCTTCAACATCCTCGGCGGTGGACTCCAGGTTCTTTTGAGCGAAGAGACAAAAGGATATATAGTGATACAGGACTAGGCGGGCGGATCTGGTAGAAATACACAGGATACATATTAGCAATGCCACCCGCGTTAAGATGACATCTGTAGCTCTTACTGATAGTATAAAGAGGTTAGTTGACAATAAAAGACCACTGCCTGGTGCGACTGGCCGTCGGATGCATCGACCTGAACCATATGGTTTGATTCCCAGAATTGGAGGCGCTCTTTAAGATCGTCAGTTCGAGCCGGGACTAGATCTAAGCCTTGTCCAAAGCTTTGGTGGTCACCGGGGGGATACACCGTCATCAGGAGTAAGGTCATCGTTGCAGCTAACTGGAACTGGCTCGTTACGACTTCGATCAGTCTTTTTTTGTAGCAGCATCGTAGACCTCAGAGGCTTGGACTTCATCCTCCAGGTCTGCATAGGTGAGTGGAGAGTGTGATGATACGTCAAAGTGACATGGGAGGATCTGGAGAGCTCGTCGTACCCCTAAAGAGAGTAACCTATCACGCAGAATTAAACACCACCACAGACGTTTCAACGTAACGCGCGCGGCTCTCTCATTTGTCGGGTAACGGTGATAGACATGGGCTTTGACTGCACGGGCATGCTGGATCCCAAGTGCCAGCCATGTCGTATTGCTAAGGCGATCTGTGCTAGAGCACCGATATGTGAGCAGAACTGCAGCTTGACCAAGCCGAAGTTGATCATTCTCGAGGTCGAAATCGTAGATCAACTGGTCATATTCTTAGACCTTCCTTCTGGGCACGACGTGAGAGCATGAGGGTTTAGCGGGTGCAAGTACCTTAGCGCGCCTATAGAAGGTATCTCTGAGAGCAATGATCGATTGCACACCGCTTCTTTTCACATATTCTACAGGGAGATACTGCGGTATTGTTAATTGGGGAGTATGTTGGTTGGAGCAAGACATACGCTGCTTGCGACAAATAGCATCGCCTGAAATACCAGCAATGAAAAAGGTTTGCGTCGTTCTCGCTGTCGGAATACAGGCCAGAACTCAGCCTCATTAATAACAGGCAAGCAAGGATGCACATATAGAAAGTAGTGCGAAATAAGCGTCTCGAGGAATTCACCTGACGGTACACTGAAACATTTCTGGGAGTCCAGAAAGGCAATGTCCGATGCTGGAAGACGATGAAGATTGGGAGCATTTAGGTAGGGGTAGTATGCGTAGGGGACCAAGGTCGAGGATATTGAATCACTGGCACCTGCGATGCGTGAGCGACTAGACTACAAACAAGGATGATTCCAGATAATTATATTATACCGGAGGTTGAAATATGACGTTGTGCCGGCCTTAGACCACCAGTGTTAATATTCTGCCCCTGTTCCTTAGCGTCGTTTATATCCTGGGCCCAGTCTTCAAGCCTGCCCTCAGTTGGGCGATTGCGGTCACCTCCTTGCATTGGTTTAAGACAGCGAGGCAATTTCCTTGGGGGAAGAACGCAGGTAAAGCCGTCCAGGCGGCAATTGACACATGGTGCGCCTTCTATCGCCAAATTACAGCGTACCTTCCTACGTCGACAATGCTGGCATGCAAGAGGAGCCCGGCGCGATCGCCGCGTACTTTGTCCATGGTGAACATCTGTAGACGCGCTGCGTATCTGACGATGTGGAACAGGTGATAAATGTGCACTCATTGTCAAGAATATGTCTCCTGTGGATCTTATTGCCCATGCGAGCGCAGTTCAGATAATGGCGATATTCAAGGGGTTCTAATCAAGTTGCCTGTTCCCCCGCAGTTCCGGTGGTTTAACTTAAAATAATGTACCAGACTGTGGGGTAAAAGGAATTCCTACGTGAGAATTGGCTGGGAAGAGAGGGTCGTTGATCCATCCAAGCCGATCAGGCTATAAACGACGCTGATCCTTGGCGCCCATACCACCCGGTCCATCCGAGCCAAGGAGAAGCTGCAGAACCAGTGCAACAATCTGACGCAAAGGACTGGCTGCCCGCACTTGAGGCCGTGGGCCGGGCCTCGGCTATCCACAACCTTCCAAGGGCAAACTTCTCATTCGTTGAAAGGCGTTGCTGCATGAGGAATAGCCACCACGCTCATAGATAGCAGCCTGAATAAAGACACGGTGCAGGAAGGGAAAAGACAGAAGTGGGAATACTCCTTTCACTTACAGCTTTCGCCTGACCCATCTATCATGCCAGTGGACACGCTGTGGGTTTGGGCAACCGTTAGTGGCGTGGCCACCCACCTCCTTCTTTATCGATATGGCGAGTGGGACCTCAAAGCGCCTAGCATTGTGAAAATATATATGCTACTGAGCGCAGCTCTTATCTATGTGGAACATTCTGCTTTACTGGATGGTTTCGCGATTGACACACGTCCAAGATGGGCAATTAGAGTCGCCCTATATCACATCTTCGGGGTTTACGCCAGCATGCTCTTTTATCGTGCTTTTTGGCATCGTCTTGGCGGATACCCCGGTCCATTTCTCGCCCGGCTTTCAAATTTCTACGTCACCTCACTCTCTGCCAAGAGTCTGCATCTCTGCGAAGAGGTTCGTAAGCTGCATCAGCAATATGGTGACTATGTTCGATTAGGTGATTCTCGCTCTGCCTGGCTTCTCACTGGCCGTCTACCAAATTTTCCTGATATTCTGATAGGCCCCACTGAGCTCTCAATTACCGATCCTAGAGCCGTAAAGGCACTCTATAGTGGTCAGTCAAAAGTGGGTAAAGGACCATGGTATACTGTGCTAGAACCCAGAGTATCCCTTCACATGTCGAGAGACAAGAAAGAACACGCTCGCCGTAGGAAAGTGTGGGATCAAGGCTTTAGTTCGAGGGGTGAGCTGATATACCTTTTACCTTATACTCCCTGTGCTCTAACCGCCGCGGTAATACAGCATTGCGCGATTATGAGCCTCGTGTTTCGCATTATGCAGAGCAGCTTCTCGATGCTATCCGCCAGAATGTTGGCAAACCGATGGATATGGCGAAGTGGTTCAACTACTACAGCTTCGATGTCATGGGAGATCTCTCTTTTGGTAAATCCTTTGACATGCTGGTAGGCGGGCAAGATACATACTTCTCGACTCAATTGCATGCGGATATGAAGAGCATCGGTCTGTTTAGCCACCTGACGTGGTTATTTCCTTTTTTCAAAAGGATCCCTGTCCTTAATTCGGATTACCTCAAATTTTGGAACTGGGTTGGCGGCAGGGTTGAGGAAAGAATAAAAGTATGATTAGACTCTTGGTTTACGATCTGGGAAAGTGGAAAAAATGCTAAAGTATCGCAGAATAACCCTGATTGTCCAGACGTGTTTTCTTGGATCCTTGATGCTTTCCAAAAGGGCCCAAAGACGAAGCAGGATCACCTCGACCTACACGGTGACGCATATCTGATTATTGTTGCAGGGAGGTAAGACGTTCCATCACACCCGCGGTAACCGTGATAATTATGTAGTGGACTAATCTCTGTACTAGTGATACCACTGCTGCCACCTTGACTAATCTGTTTTTCCATCTCGCTGCTGATCATACCTGGCAAACAAAGCTTCAGACAGAACTAGACGCTTTACCTGACTTGACCCAGGAGAAGCTGACCGGTGTTAAGACACTTGACGCGCTTATAAATGAAACCTTGCGTCTCCATCCTGCTGTACCATCAGGTACCCAACGAATGACTCCACCGGAGGGTCTCCAGATCGGTGATAGGTATATTCCTGGTGATGTGATGGTGTGCATTCCAACACACACATTGTTTCGAGGTATGGCGTTGTGTTAATATTGACCTACCAATGGCCAACAATATTAACACTTGTTAGACGAACGAGCCTTTGTTCAGCCGGAGGAGTTTCTTCCAGAGAGGTGGATGACGCAGCCCGAACTAGTAAAAGACGCATCCGTCTTCATTCCATTCAATGCGGGTATGTTTGATATATTTGGGTTTATTATAAAGCCAATTGTTGGGAGAGGTCGCCTTCGCGATACTAATACATGTTCCTAGGTCCCTATTCCTGCGTTGGGAAGCAACTTGCTCTGATGGAGCTCCGTCGTGTGACTGCCGAGATTCTGACGAGATATGATGTCCAATTCGCCCAAGAGCAGACGGTCGACGCGTTCCTGGATGGTAAAAGAGATACATTTACCTTGGTAGCTGCGCCTCTTAAGTTGGTGTTTCATGAAAGGAGGTAATGGAATTCCGTCCATTATTAGTGGACAATGGAAGTACTTTACCGTCGAGATATTCTGTATTTGTCTAGGTAGTCAGTGTTTTTATGACAAAGTCTTCTCGCAGTGGGCCTACTTCAAGTCTGGCCAGATTATGCAATGCGGAAATCTGTGAGGTCGTTTAGTCTTCTGGCGCACAGAGTAAAGATGCAAAGAAACTGCAAGAAAGCAGGATATTCTATCGCGATTTTTGGGATTGTCTTTGCGGATACACCAGTGCATGTCACCCTACTTTCAGTACCCTATTGATAAGGGCTGTTGGCCCTTGCGAGAGTGCTATGAATCCTCTTGGGATGTGCCCTGGCGACTTTGTTCGTCAGATTCTCCTCGTTATGGACTGTCCTCGGTGAAAGTAATTATCCGCTGAAATGTAGCACCGCAGATTCCAGGAATGATATTTATTGGTACCATATATATATCAACCAAGTTTAATTTTAAAGCCTTGGGGTTAGTGTTAGGGATAAGCTTCATTTTCGCGGGGCCGGAAAAAATTGAGGATTTCTACTGGTTGCTTTCACAACCTCATCTCTCTTCATATCATCGCGAACTCCTGAGTGAATGTAGATTTCATGTTCTATGCCCTTCAATTCGTCGTTTGATCTCTGCCCATTGTCTTAGAACATATGCACCACCTGCCAATTTACATATAGAGGTCTCTAGAACCTGTCGTTGTAACCACCCAGAGTGTTCTCGGATCACTTAACCGTCCAAAGCCATACAAACAGTCCTATCCACCGTCTGGCCTAGCATCGGATACAGAAACCTTGCCCGTCTTGAATTGGAAAGATGATGATTTTTATCATCGAAACCCATCCCGCAGGCGCATGAGGGATGCTTGCATCGATAGAGTGGACTGGCACGCACTGTGCCAGTATGCTTCATCCAGAAATTCGGATCGCCCTTGTACCTTACTTGATAAAAGTACAATTGGTGGGATACATCTTATAAGAATACTCAGTTTTGGAGATGTGCAATGGATCGCCAGAGTCCAACTTGAGCCGTCAACGCCTTTAACCACGAGCCTCCTCCGTGCCGAGATAGGTACAATGGATCTCGTCAGGGCTCGAACGAATAGACCCATACCGAAGGTCTTTGGGTATGAGGTCAACGATGAAAATATTGTCGACTTTGCGTTTATTCTTATGGAATTTCTACCCGGCTCATCTGCGATGGACGCTGACGGAGGCTATGAGAGTCATCATGGTCAGGCTCCATTGGCGGAGAGAAGACCCTTCTAAAATGAAGTTGCCAAAATTCAAGTATGAACCTTAACTTCTGACAATGAGTATAACTAACTTGTTATCAAGGTACAAATGACCTCGGTCAGATTACCAAAAGTTGGTTCAATTGTCAGGCGAAGTGAGGGCTCATTTGATGTCGGACCAATTCCTGGATTAGGTGGACCGTTCGCGACAGCCGCTGAGCTCTTGAGGGCGTGGGCTAGGAACGCAAAGTTTCCATCTTCTGATCAGGCTATCAGAGAAGCTATGAATGGCGGTCCAGTGGAAGAGGTTTTGAGCTCTGTCAGGAACTTTCCGCACTATCTACGAACAGTGGCACACAAAATTTCGGGCACCAATGATGGACCTTTCTCAATTTATCACCCCGACTTTTACCATAATAACATCATTGTCGGCAATGATTTCAAAATCCTTGGTATTATTGACTGGGAGGGAGCTTCTACCGTACCATGGGAACTAGTTGAACCACCTTTGTTCCTAAGCATGGTACGACCGCCAATGGATGACCCAAATATTTACGACTGCAACGGGTTGCCCAAGGAGGAAGAATCGAGGCGTCGCTTATACGAACGTGCCGAGTATATCAAGTATGTGTTGATGAAAGAAGAAGAGTTGAATATGGATCAAAAGCTCTCGCAAACCTTACTGGATCCTGACATACAAGGATTTGCGCATGCAATGAAAGTATATCTTGACCCGGGGAAGCTGGGGTTCTACTGCAAAATCTTGGAGCCTTTAGGGTCCTTCAAGCAGTCAAGACTCGTGCTGGGGTCTTGATTCCAATATTCCCTGCGGTGCCTGTGTCTTTGGTAACTCGCCTTTTTTATGTTTGAGCTATCGTCAACCTGGACATTGGGCTTCTGGTGCGGCTGCAGTACTATTGGGTCCTTGGAATCGGCACAATTTCCTTGCATGCTTAATGCGGATGTTTGTAGGATGCTGTTATCAGGTTTTGTGGCAG